TCTTAGGAATCAATGCTACATAGGTAGCATTCATACTCTTCTCAAATATTTCCTGCTCATAGAAGTTCTGGACTGCTGCTACAACATCCTTTTTTACCACTACCCAGCATTTGTTAAAAAAAGCCATTGAAAAACCATCTGGTCCTGGTGCTTTATCCCCTGCACATGCCTTAACACTGTCCCATATTTCCTGTTCTCCAAATGGGCTTTGTAGCATTAGGTTGTCCTCCTCTGTAATCATTTGATGGATGCTATTGGGCCCTGTTGGTCTCCATTCTTCTTCCTCTGTGTACAGCTTCTTATAGTATCTGATAACCTCCCTTTTGATGTCTTCTGGAGCCTGTAAAGACTCCCCTTCTACCACCAGTTGATCTATATTATTGTATCTTCTATGAGCATTAGCTGTTCTGTGAAAGAACTTGGTGTTCTTGTCTCCCTCTTTTAGCCATAAAGCCCTGGACCTCTGCCTCCATTCTACTTCTTCATTACTAGCAATCTCGTCAAACTCCAGTGATAATGAGTTCTTTGAGAGGATTTCTTCTTCAGTCAGGCTCCTTTGATCATGAATTCCTTCAATCTCTGCAAGTTGACTGAGAACACTTGCCTTCTGCAAAGCTAGGTTGCCTTGCAAGGTTCTGCTCCATTCTTTGAGCTTGGTCTTCAAAGCTTGGAGTTTAGAGACCAGTATAAAGTCTGGTCTCCCTTCATAAAAAAAGGAATTCCACCATTCTTCAATTCTTTCTTTAAATCCCTCAGCCTGTAACCACCAATTTTCAAACTTAAAGTATGATTTGACTGGTTCCCATCTTCCACATTTGAGCATCAATGGAAAATGATCTGATTTCTCCCTTTGCAACCTCTGCTGTTTGATGCTTCTGAACTCTTCATTCCAATCAGTAGAAATTAAGAATCTATCCAGTCTAGCTGCAATACACTGTCCTTATACCCCCTTTCTTCCCAAGTGTACTCCCCCCTGCTAGCTGCATATCTACCAACTCCATATCTTCAATGAAATTTGAGAAATCCATCATTCCTCTTGAGATTCTGGAACAATTTTTTTTTTCCGAAGGATATCTCACATTGTTAAAATCCTCACACACCACCCATGGACCAGAAAAGAGGCCCCTTACCCCTGCCAACTCCCACCACACTTCTTCCCTATCCCTTCTATCATTGGGAGCATATACAGCTGATAGATGCCATATATAGTCCTGAGTCTTGCCAAGAAATTTACAAGTAATAGAATGAGCACCCACCCCACATACTTCCCCCTCCCAAGCTCTACCATCCCACATTATTAAAATTCCCCCTCTAGTTCCACTGGCCTCCAATTGAGTATATTTCACCCACCTGTGATCCCAAAGTTCTCTAACAATCCCCCTGATATCCCCTTGAATTTTAGATTCTTGAAGACAAACTATATCTGCTTTCCATTCTAGTAGTAGGCTTTTGATAACTTTCCTTTTCCTTGCCCTATTCAGCCCCCTTACATTCCATGACAATATGTTTACTAACATTAACTCTGATTGATAATGACTCCCCCCCTACTTCTTGTCCCATTACTCTTAAAATTGCTTCCTAACTCTAGTCCTTTTAATTCTTTGATCCCCTTTTTCTTTGGTGTAGCATGTAACTTGTTTTGAATTTCTCTTTATTTTATATAAGCCCTTTCTTTGAGGAATTTTTGATTCCCTGATGATGCTTCTTTGCCTGTATTTACTTGTCTTCTGCTGTCAATTTTCATGAACAATTCCAAAGCTTCTCTTTCACAGCCATTAAAGTCTACCCCAAATTCTTTACTAAGCTTTATAATGTTCTGGTGCACCCAAATAGATGCTTCAAACTCTAGGTCTTCTTCAGGTTCTAAAGATCGTTGGTTTAGAGGCACTGCCACTTCTATTGCCCATGCATCTCCTCTATATGTTTCTGCTTCTTGTATCTGCATGTTGCTGTTCTTGCTTGTTTCTACTGTTGTTCCTTCATTCTCTGCTTCTGTTACTGTTTCATTAACCTCGAGCAGCACCATCTGTTTTGTTCCTTCCTTCTCGTCTTCCATTCCCTTTGCTTGCTCTCCTTCTTCTGTTGCTTCATTGTTGCTTTTGTCTCTTAAATTCTCGACCAGTACTAGTATGTTATTCTCCTTCAAAGGCTCGAACTGGATGGCTTTTAATTCTTCATGGAAGGGATCATATCTGGCCTAACTGTGGCCTTATTAAAGGCCTTTTCTTCAGAAATTTTTTGGGCCAAAAAATCTGGGCCCATTCTCTTTTTTGGGCCTTGTTATAAGGTTTTAAAAACTCATGTGACATGTCACGTGAGGTACTAGGTTTAGACCAAGTATCCTCATATCCTGTCATTACTGTATTACCTCGAGCCCCTCCCACTGTGCTTTTGTTACACTCTATTACCCGCTGATGTTTTACCCACTGGTTCAAACTGTTATCTTCTCCATTCTTACCAGTGATGGACCTCGCCGACAATTCACACCAGATCTGCATTTCAAAGACCATACCTTCAGATTCCACCTTCACGGTTTTAGGAGTTGAAGAACCATCTCCATGGACCTTTAATCTTGCCCATTTCAGATGGTTTTTTAATTCCGTTTCCTCCTCTGTTTCAATCCAACCACCACATACATCTCCAATTTCTTTGAACACTGTTTGAGACCACAGATGAAGAGGAAGCCCCACTATCCTTATCCATGTGTGCTTTATTTTTGTCAGGGCCGGGCTTGTTCCCACCATTGGAGACCACCATTGAAGCTTCACTTTAAGCTTCTTCCAGAACCATTCTATTTTCAGAACTTGGTCGGCTGTAGCTTTCGATGAGAATTCAAAGAGGAATCTGTGCTTGTCCATCTCATAAATGTTGATTTCCTTTGTTTGCTTCCAAGAGTATGAAGCCCATTTTCGAACCTCCGATAAAGTCACTATTTCTGGGCTATCTTCCGGGAAGAACCCTACCAAGCACCTACCCAGCAGC